GCGAAAGTCTCGGTAAAGTCTCGTCTGTGCTCTTGGTCGAAGCCACGCATGACCCATCGTGCTTTGAATTTGTCAATTGTCCCGTCAGCTTTCGTTTTCACACGGAAGACCCATTTTCCCGTGAGAATGGTTTTGTTGCGTGCCACTCTGATGGGTACTATCTTCCAGGTGTTTCTATCTTCAAACGCTTTTAACTCCCTGTCCATGGCTTCGCGCCATTTTTCCCTGTGCTCCCCCCCCAGATCCTGCTGAACCGTAGCAGGCTCTTGCGGCATTGGTGCGCCATGGACTGCGGTGACGAGCCCAAGAATCTGCAGCCCACACTGCGTGTAGCAAGGGAGATTTGGGTCATCGGGATAAACTGCTTCGTCTCTTTCTGCAGCCAAGTTGTCCAGGTACGTTTGGAGAGTGAGTCATTCGTAGAAAATCACGTCACGTGCTGCTACTATTTCCTTCGAGTGGACGTCAAAAATCTTCCACGCGTTGTAATGTTTTTCGATGCCCAGGTGTATTCCCCACTGTGCGCGTTGTGAGAATCGTCCAGCTCGTGCAGTGTGTGGTCGGTACTGTACCATGCAGCCAAAAACTCGTAACACTTTTGTGTTGCGCAATTTTCCTGTCCACAGCAGATGCGGTGATGCGTTGTTCGGAAGCGAGGATGACGAAAGCAAGTTGTGCAACAGCACAGCGTGGTCCATCGCCTCAGGCCACTGATGGTTGGGTAGTCGCATGCCACGTAGCAGCTTGCGCATGGTGTTCTGGAGGGTCCTGTTCATCCTTTCTGCCACGCCTTGCTGTTGATGAGCGTAGGGAAGAGAGATGAGTCACTTGATGCCTCTCTCCGCCATGTATTGCTTGAAGCGCTGTTACTGATATTCTCCTCCCCCGTCTGACTGGAAACTTTTCAGCTTCACTCCTGATTCCCTCTCTGCTACTGGGAGCCAAGCGACAAAGGCTTCGAAGGCCATGTTACGACTCGGAAGATTGAGGTGCCAGACGTATCTGGTGGCGGCGTCGATGAACGTGATTACGTAGTTGTATTCTCCCTGTCCGCTTTCGCGGGTGTACAGTATGTCGCTGTATACCTTCTCCAGCGGTGCATATGCTGGTGTGCTCGTGTTGTGGTGAGATACGAATGGCTGATGAGGTAAGTCGGCTTCAGGACAGGTAAAGCAGGTTCCGCGGACTCGTTGAAGTTCTCTTCCGTCGGGTAAGAGTAGTGAATCTTTGTCGAGAACTCCTGCTCTTATCGTGTTGTTCAGTGTCGTGTTGTTGGGATGTCCTAGCCTTTGATGCCACAATGATTTGTTGGCGCGATGTCCAGGTGAACGTCTGTACAGGTCAGAGTTGGAGTAGAAACCTGCAGTGATGTTAGCACTTCTGTGGACGTCTCGTGGAGCGGGAGTCAGCTGTTGAGCGGGAGTCGGTGTGGTATCGGTGACGGGAGTTGGTGTTGATGAAGAGCTGGCGATTGGTGCTGGTGCTATTGTTGTTGCTTCTACTTCTGCCGATGTTGCTGTTGCTGCTGTTGTCTGTTGAATCACTACTAACGCCCTTGTCCGTTCTGCTTCAAGTATAGTGTGTGAGTACCAGAAGCCTCCGGTGCTGAATTATGGGTCGAGATTTGGTGGGTGCGACCAAGTGGTGAAGTTGACGGTCGCGTCGCTGTCAGCAGTTCCTTGATCTGGGACGAAGTCGAGAACGAAGATGATGTTCTTCAGGACCGCTTTCCCGATGTAAATTCCACCCTTCCCGTTGTACAGCTTGAATTCCTGTATGGTGCTGTCGGCTTCAAGGTGAATCCCTTTTACCATGAGTTGGCTGACGCTGAGTAAGTTGTAGCCCAGTCCTTCTGCAATCAAAACCTTCGACATCTGTAAAACGACGCCAGTCTCGTGGGACTGAAGTTGAACTACTCCTTGTCGTCGTGTGCGCAGGTTCTGGTTGTTGGCGATGGTTATCACGACTTCCCGGTTGAGGCGTTGTTCCCGTTGGACGAAGCGGTTTGATGAGCACATGTGTTGTCCACAGCAGCTGTCCAAGAACCAAGTATCTTGACCGGATGGTTCGCAATAGCTGCGTACGTCGGATTTGGTTCCAGCGATTCGCGACGAGGCGTGCTTTCGTCGAGCAGTTCTTCTGGTGAGTAGGTCGATGGTGAACCGGTGATGCAGGAGTCCGTTCTTGTCATGCAACTTATGATATTTCTTGTTCCACGTGCAGGTCGTGATGTTGTCGTTGAAGGCGGCGCCTGGTTGGGAGGATGCTGCTGTGTGGAAGCCACTTGACTACTTGAAGGTCGAAGCTGACGTGGTGGTGGTGTCGATTGCTGCTGATTCGGGTAGTGAATACGGGAGTGGCCGGACGTTCGGCAGAGATGACAAAATGGCGGTACGTGTCTTCGTCCTTGATGCTCGTTCTGTCGGTTGTTGTTGTTGTAGGGCCGTTGAGTGTGAAAAGCGAACTCTGGTGATGATGCCCTTTTCTTGTGACGTTCTTCGTGCAGGTCCATATCTTGTTGTTCGGCGTGAATTTCGGCGCAGAGGTTTGCTTCGGAGATTCTTCCATGGGCTCGAAGAATGGCCCGGGTGGAGCGCCACCGAGGACCGAGGCCTGTGATGACGACAGTTACAAAAGCTTCTTCGGATATTGATCCGCCGCATCGAAGGAGTCTATCGCGCAGACCGCGACAGCGACTGATATATGCCATTCCTTTTTCGTCGGGTTGCATTTGGACCGTTGTCAATTGCGCCGTGAGACGACTTTGATTAACGCTGTCGGTTGCTTGATACAGGTTCTTCAAGTGGTTGTACGCGAGCTCGGTGGAGTTTCCGTATCCGCGATAAGACCGGATGTTCTGCTGCTCGTTTGCCGTTATGTTTCGCAGGAGTATGGTGTATGCCATTAGTGATTGATACGTGTACTGCTGCTTGTCGTACTGTGTCCCGTGCGTTGGATATGGCAGGGAGCCGTCAAAGAAGCCAAGAATTTGAGCGCCTTCCATCATCAGCTCGAATTCGAAGGACGAGGTATAGAAGTTCTTTCCGTCAAATGATGAACATGTTTGCAGTTTCAGCACGTGTGCGAATTGTGACTGCAACTGGAGTGCATCCAGTGTCTTCGTCTCTTGTCCAGGTGGGAGTCGATTCAGCATGAAGCTGACGGAGCCGCGTTGAGGTTCATACGGTGCGAAGGTAGGCTGTTGATTTCCGCGCGCAAAAGATGAGCCGTCAAGACTCATGGGAGTGATTCCGTTGTTGTTGTCGCTGTTGTTTGACTGCGCAGGTGCCGCTTGTTGATGTTGCTCGTAGAACGACATGAAGGAGAAGAACTTCTCCATCATGCTTGGGTCTAGGCCGGCTGCTTGGTTCGCAGGAGTTTCAGTTGACTCAGCAGCTGGTCTTTGAGTTGTGCCTCCTTATGTCTGCAGTCCAGAGGCTGGCGGTGGAGTAGGAGTAGTACCGGGAGATCCAGTAGACGAGCTTCTTTCTTTCTGTGTTGCCATGTCTTCTGTTGTTGCAGGAAGTTGAACAGAGTTGAGTCTTGTCTTGCAAGCTCTCATACCATGTTGGGCTGAGAAAAGCCCGTAGGATCGTTTTCAAGACTAAGGCTCAGAATAGTGATGTATTAGCGGAAGCGTCTTTGTGAACTGGTTGAACCACCTTGCACTGGTATGTGAGAACAATATAAGTTGATTATAGCAAAGAGATACAAGGCTTTATATGATTACAAGGAATATGAAAGGTTTAACTAACTGTAATTGCTGTTGCGGTTCGATACAGCGACGACTCGGGTAACTGCTCAATAGCGAATCAGTTATGTGTCCTTGCTGTCGCGCTGCTTTTCGGCGAGTCCAAGGTCGCTGACCTTTGACCTTCACTTAACCTCTTGCTGTTGTCTTTCTGTCAACCGTTTTGGTTGACTCGCTGTTACTTCGTTGTAGTTCGCTTCGCTTTTGTTGTAGTGTTCGACACATCAGAAGCGCGAACTATATGTTTCCAACAGTTCGCGAGGGACTCGCAGTTCTTGCCCCAATCAACCTTCCTAAAAGGTCTGAAACTCTTGGACCTCCGGCTCTAGCCATGCATCTGTCGAATAATCTGGGCCTGATATTGAAGCTGCCTGATATGAAACCCATTACTGGAATGGTAGCCAGGTTACAACAAGAATGTATGATTTCTAGTTTACTATACGGTACAAGCTTCACTTTAAAAATAAGTGAAAAAATACAACCCAAGCGAACATGGGGCGTAGATACTGTTGAAAACGGTAGAGAGAGGAGCGAGCTAAGTACGCACGTTGGTCAACGGTCCACAATCGACTTGCTCACAAGAAACCAAAGGCTCTGGTAGGGATGTGGAGGAGGGCAGAAGACCATGGGTGGGATGGGATGGGATGGAGTGGTGGAGTGGAGATCAGACAGGAAAGATAATAAACACGTTGGTCAGCAACTCAACTCAGCGGTCCACAATCAGTACCTTGCTCGCAAGAAGGTAAAGGCTCTGGTAGGGACGAGGAGGGCGGAAGGCCATGGGTGGGATGGGATGGGATGGAGTGGTGATCAAAAAGGGGTGGGAAGGGAAGGAAGGAGGGAGCATATGGGAAGGGAAGTGGGAGGGAAGGGAAGGAAGGAGTGCAGGGAGGTGGGTGGGCGGGTGGGTAGGAAGAGGGATCGGACACATGGAACTAGGAGGACAAGAAAGTATGGCATGTAAATCAACTACTAGAGAGTGGAGGGCAGGGCATTGTATGGCATGGGGGGCAGGGCATTGTATGGCATGGGGGGCAGGGCATTGTATGGCATGGGGGGCAGGGCATTGTATGCAAATGAGTGGGCTAGAGCGCAGACGAGGAGAACAAAGCAGAAAAGGCAGATTCGAGAGTGGGGATTGCTGGGTGTGATGGTATCACATTTGAGGGTATACTATAAAGGGATAGAATCCAGATCCGAAAGTGGAGATTGCTGAATGTGCTTGTCTGCCTGTCTGTAACTCTCCCCGTTACCACTTCAGCACACACCGTACCTTCTTCCTCTCCTTCTCCTTCTCTGCACGTGCCGCCATTTTCGGGTTAGGCTGCGGCCACCGGATGTTATCATACGCTCCTGACGCCTCTGCCTCCTCTGCTCCGCCGCTGTGTTCTCTGATGCCTTGTGCTGCAGATGCAAAAGAGTGGTCAGCAGCACTAGCCGAATCATCATCGTAAAAGTCGTAACCATCGCCAGCAGAAGCAGCAGCTGCCGCGGCGGTGGTGGCAGCAGCTATTTGACCATCACCAATATACGGCGACCGTTGCTGCTGCTGCTGCTGCTGCTGCTGCTGCTGCTGCTGCTGCTGCTGCTGCCAGTGCTGCCCTGCTTCTCCTCCCCCCTCCTCACCCTGCTTCCCCTCCGCTCCCACTGCATAATAGTCGTAGCTGTCAAACTCACTGGTACTACCAGCATCACCGAAACCAGCGCCACAATCACTGCTGGTACCATGCCAGTCAGCCGCAGCAACAGCGCCACCAGCAGCAGCAGCATCACCCTGGTCACCACCGTCACTCTTGCAGACATAGCCTTGGATTCCCTCGTAACCCATATCCACTTCCCTCCCAGCCCTCTCCACAGCACCACCAGCGAGTTCCTGCTGACACTGTCCCTGCTCCCAGCCTTGATTCCCCTGCTCCTCCTGCTCCCTCTGATGCCCCCTCTGTTGCTCTCCGTCTACTCCCGTTACCCCCCTACCTTCCTCCTTACCTCCCTCTATATCTCCCTCCTGGTCTCCCTCTCCCTCTCTTCCCTCATCTCCACCTCTTCCGTCCACGCCAAAACTGTTCCTTTGCCCCTCCCCACCAGCACCCCCCTCACTGCCGGGTTTGCTACTCCTGCTCATCTCTCCACTCCCTTCAGCAAGACAGCCACCACCACCAACACTGTAGTTCTCACCACCGCCACCACCACCGGAACCACTGTTACCACCAACACCACCGGAATTATTGTTACCGCCACCACCACCATAATCATCATTATCCTCATCGTAATACCCTCGGCTGTTCCACGCAATAGGCACATAAGAATCATGGCTGTTGCCGTGCCTGCTGTTGCTTTTGCTGCTGCTTCTGCTGCTGCAGCTACCACCGTTCCCCAACTCACCATGCCACACTCCTTGCTCTGCACTCCTCTCCCTAACAGCATCAGCAGCAGCAGGAAAATCAGCAGCCGCCTCCTCCCCCTTGCCTCCAAGCAATCTGCCTCCCATCACTCCCTCGCCCTCTCTCTCTCCATATCCCCCCCCTTCTCCCACTCCCTCTCCCTCTCCCTCCTCTACCCCTCTTTTCTCCCCCACACCTCTCTCCACCACCCCTTCTTCCTCTGCAATCACCAGCCCTTCACTCAAATCAGTACCATCCAAGCCAAAGCTACTCTGACTAACATCATCACCACCACCACTGCCACCGCTACCGAAATCCCTGCTCCCCCCTCCACTGCCACCACTCCTCCGCCTGTTCCCCACAGCCCGCCCAAAGCTCCCCTGTCTCGTCCGCCCCTTGGTGAAAAACGCCCGCCTGCTGCTGCTGCGTGTGTTCCTGGCAACAGCAGCAGCAGCAGCAGCACCATTAGCTGGCGTAACAGTATCAGCGGCAGCACAAGTAGCAGCAGCAGCAGCAGCAGTAGCAGCAGCAGCACCAACAGGGCCGGCAGCAACACGAACAACACTCGAGCCATCACCAGCACAAGCAGCAGAAGCAGCAGCAGAAGCAGAATAGGCAGTACTAGCCCCTGCCTCACCAGCAGCACTACAATGATCCTCCTCCTGACCAAACTCTACATGCACGGCCGCTTCTGTTTCACCCTCTCTCCTCCTCTCAACCATCCCCGCTGCTGCTGCATGTGCTGCTGCCGCCTGCAGTTGGGTGAGCGCATTTGCTTCATAGTCTTCTCCTTGTGCTTGTTCTTCCGCCTGTGCCTGTGCCTGTGCCTGTGCCTGTGCCTGTGCCTGTGCCTGTGCCTGTGCCTGTGCCTGTGCCTGTGCCTGTGCCTGTGCCTGTGCCTGTGCCTGTGCCTGTGCCTGTGCCTGTGCCTGTGCCTGTGCCTGTATCTGCTCTTCTTCCCCATCAGCACCCATTTCTTTTCCAGCCGTTGCTGCCACTGCCTCTGCACCAGAAGCAGCAGCAGGGACTGCAGCGGCAGCAGCAGACGCAGCAGACGCAGAAACAGAAGCGGGAGCACAAGGCATGGTGGCAGAAACAGCATACCCCATATCAGCAGCATTCGCCACACCACCACCACCACCACCAGCACCAGCAGCAGCAGCACCATCCAGACATCCACTGTGCATCACCAGCGAGCCCTGAGCACTGCAGAACGAGTTTTGAGTCGGCTCAAAACACGAAGCATTCGCCACACCACCACCATCAGCAGCAGCAACAACACCATCCAGACAGCCACTGTGCATTAGCAGAGAACCCTGTGCACTGCAGAACGAACGCACTGCCATCAGCCTCTCCCCCCGCCCTGCCTCTACCTCCCCCGCTCGCACCTCCCCCACCCGCCCCCCATCTCCCCCTCCCCCTCCTCCTCCTTCTCCCTCTCCTCCTCCTCCTCCTCCTCCTCCTCCTCCTCCTCCTCCTCCTCCTCCTCCTCCTCCTCCGTCTTGCTCTGCACTCTCCCCTGGAAACAACCGCCGCACCCGCCACTCCCCAAACCTGTGACTTTCCTCCTCCCCTCTCCACAACCCCCTCTTCCCAACTTCCAATTCCTCCTGTGCCTGCTTCTCTCCCTCTGTCTGCGCCTGTGCCTGAGACTGCATGCGTCCCTGCATCTGCATACCTTGCTGCAGCCCCACCCTTGTCCCACTCCCACTCCCACACCACGTATCCGGTAAACTCACCGCAGGACTCGCACCCCCCCTCGCCCTCTCCCACTCCCCCTCCCTCCCTCTCACTCTCTCCCACTCCCCTTCCCTCCCCCTCACCCACTCCCACTCACCCTCCCTCTCCCTCTCCCTCTCTCCCCCCACCGCCCCTCCCCTTGCTCTATCAGCCGAAGCGCTACGAACCACCGGCCGATTCACCAGAGCCCTGCTTGTATATGCAGTTGCAGTGCAGTTGGCACCCCCTACTCGATCCGCTACTCCTTGCTGTGTGTGTGCGCGCCGAGCAGAGCTAGGCCTTCGCCCGAGCCCGGAAGAATGGGCAGGGGAGGCCGTGGGGATGATGCTGCGGTGGGGAAGGGTTGAGTACGGTGGGTTGAGCCCAGTCAGGGGTTCCCCGGCTGGTTCGGGGTGCGGTGCGGAGGCTGTGCGAGGGACGGTACGGCCGGGCGCGGTGGAGTGCGGTGGAGCTCGATTCAGAGGTTCGAAAGTGGGAGAGGAGGAGGACAGGGCGGGAGAAGCTGTCGGGATGATGCTTTGGTAAGGGAGAGTGGGGAATGGTGGGTTCGGTGGTGTTAAGGGTTCAAAAGCTGCTTCAGAGGGATTGGTGGGGGAGGTTGTGGGGATTAAGCTGCGGTGTGGGAGGGTGGAGTACGGTGGGGTGGTAGGGGAGCAGGATAGGTTGTTGGGAGGGGAGGAGGAGACACCTGGGATCATTTGAATCACCTCTTGTGGCTGCTGCTGCTGCGGCGGCGGCTGTGACGGCTGCTGCTGCTGCTGCTGCTGCTGCTGCTGCTGCTGCTGCTGGTAGTGGCGTTGCAGCGGGGTGTGTGAGTAGAGGGAGGGGGAGGGCGAGCGGTGGACAAGGGAGGGTGAGGAATATGGGCGACGGGGAAACGAGGGAGACGCGTTGAAACGCCTCAGTCCCTTACCCCTCCCCACTCCTTGCCCCTGCCCCTGCGCCTGCTCCTGGCCCTCTCCCTGCCCCTGCCCCTGCCTCTGCGCGGACGAGGTGACCTGGGCGGAAGGGGAGCGGTCGAGGGGAGATTCAGGCTGGGAGCAAGCGGCAGGGTCGGGGGAGAGGTGCTGATTGGGGGAGGGGGGATTGATGGCGGCTGGCTGGTGCGGGGAGGAGGAGGGGTGGTTGATGGAGGGGTGAGAGGTGGGAGTGAGGCGAGCGGTGGACGGGGGGAGAGTGGCTGTGGAGAGTTCTTCTGTGGTTGTTTGCAGTTGAGGCTTCTTCTGTTGGGCCAGGGGTGGAGATGGGAGCGCACGAGCGAGTGAGTGAGTGAGCGAGTGAGGGGCTAGTGTGTGTTCACGTGCTCACAGTAGACTTTCCTGTGTTGCTGCATGGATTGCTTTTGCGTGCTGGTTTGTGTTTGTGCATGCACTTTGCATGAGCAGGGAAGAGCGAGTAAGCGAGGGTGGGAGAAGGAGAAACTAGAGAGGAAAAGAACAAGAGAGAGAGAGAGAGAGAGAGAGAGAGAGAGAGAGAGAGAGAGAGAGAGAGAGAGAGAGGCACAACACAAACACACACACACACACACGCACACACACACACACACACACACACACACACACACACACACACACCTGTCCGAACCGCGCCGCTGGAACTGCTGCGCGCATCATAGAGTGCCATGGCATTCCGGTGTATTACAAGTCAACTCACACAACACCTGCACGCACGCATACACCCACCTGTCCGAACCGCGGTTGTTCCCCGCGCTGCTGGAACTGCTGTGTGTACTTGAACGAGCGCCGGGCCGCCACGACCGCGGCGCCACTGCCTGTGCGCGGCCCCATGGACTGCGACCCGCGCGCCTCCTCATGCCAGCTGAACTGCGGCGGATGGCTGAACGATGAAGGGTCGTCCAACGATGGTGGGGATACTGGCGGGTACCCCTGCTGCTGCTGTTGCTGCTGCTGGTGGTACTGGTGATAGTGCTGGTAGTGGTGGTCGCTGGGGGGAGTGACGGGTTTTTCCCATTCGTTGAATTCGGGGGTTGTGGAGGGGATGATTGGCTGCCCGGGGAAGGGGAAATGGAAAGGGGGATTGGGTGGGGATGGGCGGGGGCAGGTTTGAGTCCTTTTATTGTTTTTTTTTCCTTTCCACGCAGGAGCAGAGTTGGATGCGTGAAACATTATCCGTTCAAATTCACAAGCATGTATCGTTTTGCGAAAGGAAGCCCCGACCAAACAGTAATAAACAAGAAAGAAGGCAAAAACGAACTCTGATATCCATCGCCAATTCGCCACATCAAATCGCACCACAGGACAACCGCGCCCTCACCTCGTGGTTGAAACTGGGAAGCTTAGAAACTTTCGCTGCCCGAAGCTTCTTCACCGTGATAGCCTCGCGCCGCCCCGCGCTGCGACTCCCCACAGGGGCCACGGTTGTTCCCGTGGAGAGCGACTTGTGGGCGTGCCGCGGACCATCTTCCTCCGCGCCTCCACCTGGCGGAGCTTCCGCCGAAGTCGCCGCACCGCCCGGGGGGGGATTTCCAGCTGTGGAATCCGCAACTGGCGATCCTTCCGCGCCAGCTGCGGCGAGGGAGGCGGCGGCCGCGACGGCGGACTCTATGGTCGCGTCTAAAGCTGCCTCGACCGTTGCGCTCCCATTGGCACAGGCCGGAGAACCAGCTTCGCCTGGATCTCCTCCGATCCCGCCATCCCCTTCGCCCGATCCGCCGCCCGCGCCGGCCTCCCCATCCCCGCCTGCCCCTGCGCCGACTTCGCCCCCTGCGCCGATTCCTCCCCCTACAACAGCGTCCATTCGCTGCATGCGCTCCGGTAGGCTCAGCGTGCGCCTGCTTACCCACGCGGGTGCGCGCGTGCCGCCTGCGCCCCGCCGGGCTAACAGCCGCGGTTGCGCGCCGCTTATCGGCGCAACGCCTCCGGCAAGGTTAATTCTGTTTGTAGCGACACCGCCGCCACCGCCATCGCCACCGCCGTCGCCGCCGCCGTCGCAGCTGCCACCATCGCTGTCCTCCTCTTGCGGTGGCGGAAGCAGGCTCGCTTGCTTCTGCGACTGCGACGGCGACTGCGACGGCGACGACGACTGCGACTGCGACTGCGACTGCGACTGCGGCCGAATCAGCGCTCCCGACTGCGACTCTGTACGCGACTGCTCCTGCACTTGCGTTGCCGATTCAATGTGTCGTTGCTGGTTCTGCTGGTGCTGGGGATGGTGCGGATGCGCGGAATGGTACGCGCTCTGCGGAAACGGCGGAAGCGCGGAAGAGGCGCCGGTGCGCGGCCCCGTTGTCGCGCTCGTACTGCGGCTACGGGGGTAAGCAGGCCGCGCTAAGTGACGCGGCTGCGCTGTCTCTCCTTGCCCTTGCGCTTGCCCTTGTCCCCGCGCCGATACGCGCGCGGTTTCTTGACCGCGTGCAAGTGTTCCGCTTGTGTGTTGAGAGCTACACTGAAGCACCGCGGCCGCCATCGCCACACCGTGCGCCCACTCTTGCATGCTCGACATCGCCGCCCCGCTCTCTTGCGACCGTTGCGACGCCTGCCGCGACGAGGCGACGGCTGGTGGCGACGATTGCGGTCGCAAATCCACCATCGCACGGTCGGCTGCATCTCGCCGCTCCGCATTCGCCAGTTCTGGTGAGAAGGTAAAAGATTCCTGTAGGGTACATGGCGCATCTGAGTCGTTAAACCGACCTTCGCTCGGCTTAACTTTTCCCTCTGCTCCTCCTGCTTTCCAGCGTGTTTGCGGTGCGGAGCGCTTCGATTCCTCCATGTATGACACTCTTCGCACCAGATGATATCGAATTGTTGCAAATGGGATGAATAAAGAAGATAGAAAGAAATAAACGATGTTTACTTTCGAGCGCACGTTCCTCTGGAGGCGCGGTTGGGACTTTTTGGCTCCAAACGTACGTAAAGCGTATGGCTGCGTCCTTAATGGGTCTTATTAATTTCGAAAGGTTACTAGCAAGTAACCTAAACCAGGGGACGTTCGGGTCTTACAAACTAGATAATGCATCGTCGCAGGTTTTCCGTACTACGTTGATAGTGCAGCTACTAGACGATGGGCAACAGCGCAGCGCGCGGAAATATCTATTACGGTATGGAGAAACTGCAGTGACAACTGAGGAAGAAAGGAAGGGAGTTACTGGAAGCACCTGTACCGTATGGGTTCCTTCTTGCTCTTGCCATGGAACCCAAACAAATTTCACGAAGCAAACGAGCAGGTTTGGTGTGCTTATGGCGACGAGGGGAAGAAGCAAGCAACCAAGCAGGAGCGAATGGAAGTCGAGGAGAGGAGCAGCGGCAGCAGCAGCAGAGGATGAGGGGAGGCTGGGGGGGAAGAGAACCAACTCGCGCAACTTGACTGGGGAGAGGCGAACGAAACGCGAGGAAAGACACGGAAGAAGACGACAGATGTGTGGGAGAGCACCCATAACCCGTGTAAAAAAGAAGTCCTGAGAATAAGCTTGATAGGTACAATTTTCCAGCATCAATTCAGAGAAATACTGGCCAGTTATTTTATAATGTAATGCATTTCGTTTGTACCGGGCGGACCAACTCGAAAAAAGCCCGAGGTTGGTTGGGCCACATTTTCAGTTCAAACACACCGCCGATGGCCACTGGGAGAGTCCGAACCGAGACGGAGCCACGTCGCGCTTGTGGGATACTGCACACAAACGAAGCCAATCTCAGCTGTACAGCCGAGGGACAATTACAGTACAGGCGGACGCGGGGGACAATTACAGTACAGGCGGACGCTGGTTTGTTCGGACTTGAGGGTCAACGGACTTTTTCAGAAAGCAGGTGATACCAGACTTGCACCACACGTTTGTCATAGTGTAACTGGAACTGTTAGAATTGAAAGCTAATATACTAAGGCATCAAGGGTTTACCTAAGAGCCAGCAATTTCAAAAGCCTTCAGGAATGATTTTCATTTTAGTATCGGCTCCTGTGCAAACCCTTCAGAACTAGCAATATGAAATCATCCTCTACACAACCGTACACTTGAACACACCATGGGCCAAATAGAAGGGCTGACACTGACCCAACCATACATCACGATTGCCACAAAATTCACGTCATGTTGAATGGCTTCAAGCCTTGAGGGCAAACTTGCGCTGGGGGAAGTATTTGAGCCTCCTGGCCTCCCTCGCTGTCGTGAGCTCAGACTGGCACAATAATGGGGAGAGACAGCAAAGCGGAACGCAAGATAGGGATGAGTGAGGATGACTAGAGAACAGCAACCCAACTGGAATGAGAAGCTGACCAGATTGAACAGCTAAGACACAGGAACAAATGTCACCACAACAGCAACATCGTAAGAGGTTCCAGGCATGTAATGTTGGCATAATTACAGCCGCTGGCTAATCATGCAAACCAGGCATGCCAAATTCCCCTAACTAGCTCGGCTATTTCCCCCTCCCCCCCCCACCCTTGCTCAATCCCTCACTTGCATGCATGCACTGCAAGTGCAACACACAAAATTAGAAGACTAAGGCAGGCCAAGCCTGCCAACAGACCAGCAGGAAACTCTGTTTCCTTAATCATCCAATCACCACAACACTCCTATCACCTCCACCTCTCCACACTAACCAGCCAATCAAGCACGGAATCAGCCACCCTGACGGCAAGCCAACCAGCAACCCGTCATGAGCGCGCGCGCGCCGCCATACCTGTCTCTTGGTGAGCCGCTGGCGGATGGCGCGGGTCTTCTTGGGCCTTAGATCGAGCGGCGCGTACTTCTTCTTGGCGAACGCGGCGCGAAGGTTCGCCTTCTGCGTCTGGTTGATGACCGTCAGCACCTGCGCGATCGACTTGCGCACCACCTTGCTGCGGAGGGGACGGGTAGAAGAAGGGGGAGGCGCGGGAAAAGATCGGGGGGGCCGCGGACAGGTACAGGCGGGGAACGTGGGAAGGGGAGTAGGAGAGAGGGGGGGAGGCAGGGAGGAGAGGGACAGAGTGCGTTAATGAGCGAGGGGGAAAGGCGGAGGAATAGATAAAAAAACATTTGGTCAGAAATAAACACATAAAAGAACATGACAGGACGCGCTCCATCTTCGACAGCTTGTGAGGCGTTTAAAGTCGCGGGAGTGACATTCATCAAGTCAATCAGGTGCACTCACATCTTGGAGAGCTTGTTGGGCGCGCCGCCAGTGACCTTGGACACGCGCAGCGCTGCCAGCTCAGTCTTGAGCTCCTTCAGCTGCGCTCGGGTTGGAAAGGAGAGGGGCGCGGAGGGAAGCGAGGGGGCAGGGGGGAAGAAGAAAGAGTGAGGAGGAGATCGATTGTTCGCCGCGCACGCGGAACGCTGCCAACTCAGCCTTCAGATCCTTCATCCGCGCTCGGGGGGAACCATGGGGGTGCGGCACGAAGGAAGAGAGGGGAGGAGACCGAGTGGGGATAAGGCGAAGAGAGAGGGGTGGAGCGAGAGGAAGGGTGGGCAGGGGGAACTGACACTGCTACACTAGCCCACGAAATCAAACGGTGGAGACAAGAGCTGGGCCATGAAATCCGGCAAGAGCATGCGAATCATGCGGTGTCAGATGGGGCCCGAGATCGGGGGAGAGAAAGTGATAGAACAGGGGGATCAAGGACGGGGCTAAAAATGACTGGAGAAAACCCTTTCATCCAGCTTCCAAGATTTCGCGCGTCGCCTACAATCGTTTCCGTCGCCAAGGCATCGCATTTCTTCGCTTCTAGCATGCCCTTCACTGACGGTTTGCGCGCACTCCTCCGGCCCAAAAACCTTCTCCGCTTCATCGCACCCTCCGCCATCCGCAGGCAGCGCCTTGCGCTCCCGCCTCACCCACCTCCTCCGCCTAACCCTCCCTCACTCCGTCCGCCTCGCCTCTCTTCCGCATGCCACCCATCTAGCTGATAAGCACCATCCTCTTTCTCGCTGTCAAACCCCCGACTACTGGTAAACTAATCCCAGGCCTCACCCTCACCCGCGGGAAAAACGACCATGTGAAAGCCCGATCTCCGCCCCACCCGCAAGCCTTGGCCGAGTTTCTCCTGCCGAGTTGTGAGACGTCTCGAGTTTTGAGACGTGTTTCGAGACGTCTCAAAACAATCAACATGTTATGAGACATCTTCAAACAAGCAAGCATCGGTCCCGCACGAAAGCTTACCTGGTTGAGCAGCTCCGTCTTGCTCTTGCCGCGGAGCTCGTGCACCCGGAGCTTGGCTGATCGGGAGATAACGGATCAAATGCGCGCCATGGTTGGGGAGAGAAGGAGCGGGGGGAGAGGAGGGGTGGGGTGGACGGGGGAAGGGGGGGAAGGGGAGGGGGGGGAAAGGGCGGCAAATTGGTAACCCCGAATTCGTCTCGACTAGCAAGGAAATCCTCGACATGACAGACGCAAGGTGAAATTATATGCGCTACGGCAAGGCGGCGGCTGGTCAGGAGACAGATCATCAACGACAACAGCACCACGAGAACACCCATCACACCACGACAACGTGCCGACGGTTCTACATGCAGCATGACGCTAAAACAAGTCGCCTGAACGACTCTAGACACTGCGGAGTCATGACGTCGTTCCGCCGACGCCAGACGTCTCTTGAAATGTTTTGTTGCTAGCAACGACAGTGTCTAGAATGAATCCCAGAGAAAGAGAGGAGACGAAGGAAGACGTAAGCCGCACCCTCACATAGTGAATAATGCCTAATGCTGACATGCAGAAACGCTACCCTAAAAACGGACTTCCAGCAACTCAGCGTTCAGCGACGAGCATCATTTAGCCTGCTAGCCGAATCTTGCCGACGCGTCGCTCTTCACGGTAACTGACGACTACAGCCGATCCGCGTTACAAGCACTCGCGCTACGGGTCTAGGGTTCAAAATGCTTCTCGCGACATATTGCATGAGACTCGCGCGTTCCGTTCGTGTCGACGGCCTATTCCAGATAACAGGCACAGAAGAAGTTCAAAGGCGGCGCGTACCCATTAGGATGAATTGATGATGTTACTGTAGCTGAAGGCAGGGACTCTCGGAGAGGGTCTAGCACGGGGCCAGAGGGAAGAGTGACAGGGAGAAGAGAAAACTGGCAAAGAACGAGTGTCGAATATGTAGGGCTGGGAGGTGCTTGGAGGAAGGCGCAGATGAAGAAGATGGAGGACAGGGTGGTGCGCGTGAAAGCAAGTTCTGTACTGCGCGGGGTGGGGGAATGGCAGGGGAGAGGTGGGATACCAGGGAGGTAGGGGGAAACGGGGAGGGCGGGGAACGAATGGCGGGAAACGAATGGCGGGATTTTCTGGGGAAAAACTCAGAGTATGGGTCAAATGGGCAGCGAATTAGGTTTTGGGGGAACTACTCGTGTCGGGGCGGGGGCGTGGGGAGTAGAGGGGGAAACATTTGTTCAAAATCCTCGTGTGGGGTGAGAGGAAAGGGCAAAGGCGAGGGGAGAAAAGAGGGCGGAGTATGAATGGGCGGACTACGGTTATGTTGGAATCCAGAGACTGGCGAATTTGGCGACGACTCGTGAGAGCGAGTAACTCGTTAACTTCGTCTGGGAGAGTGGATATCCACCCAGATCGAGACCTGTAGTTCCACAAAAACGGTCTCGTTTGCGACTATGGGGACAACACAAATGTGGTAGCATATGGTGAAGCAGGAAGTAAATACTAGTGAGATTTCCGTGTGCTGTGCCTTGTCACTTCAGGGTTGTGTGTTAGGTATAATTTTCCTTTCTTCTCTGCAAGCTCCACAACGCCGACGACTCACGACTAGACTATGCCTTATATTCCAGCGTCATTTAGCTACACTCAGATCGGTTACTCTCATCTTTGTTGCTCTATCCACTCTACGTGCAACGAGCTGGTGTGTCTCACATAATCAATATCTGGAATAATCATTTAGTAATTACGAACGGTTCATACCGTATCAGTATATCGGGCAGACAGAAATGGTATCCAGGCTAGAATTGAGCGCCTAAAATCAGCCTCGCAGGCAGCAAGACAGCACCAAGGTACGGTACGGACAATCAGTACGGTAAGAGGAGCCGCGATTCCCCCCATGTACCGCAGAACAGAGTGTATGCTAATAAAAATGGAGACCTACCAATAAATACCAGTGACCATTACCACCAGCTCACCTACAAGAGAAACTTGCTTCTCCACTCCATGTACACAGCTCCTATCCTAACTCCCAACTTCCCTCCCTCCCTTTACTGCCTCCGTCCCCATTCACTGCCCTTCTGTGACCATCAAACTAGCTTCTCCCGCCCTGGCTCCACTCTCAACGTATCTCCCTGCAGTATGGCATGACACCCACGAACACCGTATATTTGTCATTCTCAGCCCCCAACCAGTCAGCTTACACTGCTAGTGGCACGGCTGGCACAGTATGTACCTTCCCAGAAACTCCCCTTTCCCACTCTCCTCCCCCCCTCTTGCTGCTGCTAGTAGCACGGCTAGCACAAACTGCACAGCATGCTCCATTCTTCTCCCTCCACTTCCCCTTCCTTCCCCACTTCATCCACCATCAACTGGCTATCGGCTGCAGGGCCAGACGGACCGCGCTACAGGCCCCTCTCCTCTCCTCCCCCTCCGTCCCCATCTCCACTCCCTCTCCTCTCCTTCCACCATCAATCGACAATCGGTTGCATGGCCAGCACAGACCGCACAGCATGCCCAATGCCATCCTCCCTTCCCTCCTTTCCCTGATTCTCCCCCCTCTCTCTCTCCCAAATTCTTCCTCCTCCCCATCCATTATCACTTGGCAATCGGCTGCACTGCTAGCACGGACCGCACTGAATGCCCCGCACCGTCCTCCCACGTTAAGCTCCCAAACGAGAAGCTACCCGTGGGGTTCACCACCGTAAACCCCACCGTAAAAGTCACCGACTTCCCCACACCAATCGTAAACTGGCTCGGCGACACCACCACCCGCACATTCTCCGGAGCAACAACCTTGGCTCGGTACGTCGCTGCCTTGTCTCCCACATTCGCCACCGTCCTCTTTACCACCACCCCCTTTCGCAATCGCGACACAGCAATCGACGGCAAATTCAAGTTATACGCCGGAATCGCCTTCACCGGTTTGATCTTCCACCCCTGCACCTCGGTCAGATTCTGCCAGGCCAAAAAGTTAAGATAATCGCCCAGCCCGAGGTTGTAGGTCAGCCCGGGGTCCAAAACTTTCGGGGGGTTCACGTGCCCGGAACCAATCTCAAACGGATTCGCCTTCTCCCCGGTCACAAACCTCCCGATCGGCCCGCCCTTATTATTCACATTACTCGCCGTCGTCATAATCGCCGACATGACCTGCGCGGGGGACCATTTCGGCCGCTTCTGCACGAGCAGCGCCGCAATCCCCGCCACATGGGGAGCAGCCATAGACGTCCCCATTAGCATATCATACCCTGGCTTGCTCCCAGCCTTGGTGCTGCTGCTCCGAGAGGAGCCCCAGAGGAAGAGGCCTGGGCCGAGGATGTCGGGTTTAAGGATGTCGTTGGTGGGGCCGGGAATTCGGGGGTCGGAAGAGGGGCTCACTACGGGGCCTTGCGCTGAGAAGGGCGCGACGGCGGGCGCGATCCGGTTGAAGAAGACTGAGAAGGATGCTGAATAGGACGCGACTGGCCTGGTGGGGTGGGGGGGGAGGGGTAAGGAGGGATGGGGGAGTGGGAGCGATGGTGGGGATGAGGGTGATGGGGGTGAATATGCAAGAGAAAAGTGCTACTCCGTCCTTATAATGTCCCGGGCGTTATCTTCCAATCCACCCCCCACACCCACCACCCCCTCCTCCCACCCCCCTCTCCCCACCCCCTTCTTCCCCACTCCCCGTTCCCCTCCCTCCCGCATGCTCACTTGGTCGTCGCGCGCATGTATTTGCGCAGCTTGTCCGCCTCTTTCACCGCGAGGTGCAGGATGGGGATGCGCGCGTCGTAGATATCCAGCGTCACGTCGCCGCCGCCCGCCTCGTTCACCAGCACCATCGCGCGCGCGCCCGCGCCCGCCGCCGTGTCCGCCTGCGTGCCGAACGACGCCTGCCCCGCCGTGCACACGAGAATCTTCCCGCTCGCCTTGGCGGAATCGACGGTTCCGGGGAGACACAGCTTCGCCTGGGAGTGGAGTGGAAAGAGGGAGGTGACGGGGAAGAGATGGGGGTGCGGGGAGGGCGGGTTAGTAACGAACGACGCCTGTGCGCCCCCCGCTGTGCACACGAGGATCTTCCCGCTCGCCTTGGCGGAATCGACGGTTCCGGGGAGGCACAGCTTCGCCTGAGAGGAGTATGTGGGGGGATGGAACGGGGGAGGGAGTGGGGGAGGGGGTCAAGTGGGATGAGCGAGTCGCGCACTTCCTCCATCTCACACACTCACTGATGCGCCAGCACCCGCGCAGCCCCGACACAGCGCGCACGCGCGCGCAAACACGCACACACTCTCTCTTTCTCTCTCTCTCGCACGCGCGCATTTCCCATTTGGGACTCACGTCGGTCGCCGTGCTGCCGTACGCCACAGCGTCCTTCGCCAGCAGCTGCGGCGGCCCGACCCGACCCCCCACACAGACACACATGCGCGTTCCCCCCATCCCCCGCCCACCCCACCCCACTCCACCCCACCCCACCCCACTCCACACACTCACGTCGGTCGCCGTGCTGTCGTACGCCACCGCGTCCTGCGCCAGCAATAGCGGCACCAGCGGCAGCCCGCGCACACAGCCACACATGCGCATCCCCCCCCCCATCCCCCCTTCACCCCCAACACACTCACGTCGGTCGCCGTGTTGCCGTACGCCACCGCGTCCTGCGAGAACAGCAGCGGCAGCCCGCGCACCTTGCGCGTGCCCGTGCCGAATCCCGCGCCCCACAGGTTCACGCCCGTGCCGAGCCGCAGCTTCGACGTGTAGTGGCGGTCCGTGGAGCTGGCGGGTGGGGGAAGAGGGAGCGGGGAGCGGGGAGCGGGGAGCGGGAAGCGGGGACAAGGGAGTGTAGAACAGAGTGAGAGGCGAAGGGGAGAAGACAGTGTCGCTGGGAAGGGTGGGCAGGGCAGGGCGGGGCCGGGAAGGGCGGGGCAGGGCGGGACGGGGCAGGGCGGGGCGGGGCGGGGCAGGGCGGGGCGGGGCGGGGCGGGGCGGGGCAGGGCAGGGCAGGGGAGAGCGGGGCAGGGCGGTGCGGGACGGGGAACCTCACCTGGCGCCAACGGTGAGGTAGAAGGGCGAGAAGTGCATGATGGTGCGGTAGATCGACTGCGTCAGCGGCGGCGGGCCGTTGTTGCCGCCCGCGCACACCACCACGATGCCCGCCTGCCGCGCGCGGGGGGGAAGAGCACGATGCGCGAAAAAGAGGAGGGGGAACGGGGGATGGGGGAGGAGAGGAAAATGTGCGGGTTAGCTCGAAACGTGACGGGAAGCGGAACAGGGGCGGCATATACTGATAGAAGCACACTCATCATCGCGTACCTGATTGGCGTAGAGGAAATTAGTATCGTCGAAGTACCCAGCGTACGGATTAACTCCGCCTAGCGACATGCTGATCACATCCACGCCGTCCGCTACAGCCGCGTCGATAGCGGCGTCGATATCCACGCTAGAAGCCGAGCCACTCATGTCGCCCTTCGCCTTCCAAAACACCTTGTACACCGAGAGCCGCGCGCGCGGCGCCATGCCGCTCGTCGCGCCGATCGCCTGCCGCCGGTTGTTCACGGCTTTAACTCCCGAGTTCCCCGCCGCGGCGCTCGCGCACCACGAGCCGTGCCCGACGGAATCCCGAGGTGACAGGTAGTCTAGAGTCCCGTCGATTGCGCCGCGGTAGCGCACGAACCCGCCGTTGAACGCGCGCGCTCCGATGACCTTGTTGTTGCAGCGGGGGAAGTCCGGCGCGGTCTGGCACTTGCCGACCCACTTAGTCGGCGCGGAGTAAGCCGCGGAGCCCTGCGCACGGGGGGAAGCGCGGAGGAAGGACAAAACAAAGGGGGAAGGGGGAGGGGGGATGGAACGATGGCGAGATGAGGTGAAAGGACGAGTGAATGTCTGTTGCGCAATGGGAATTCGCCGAAAGTGGTTAGCTTCCTGCTGATTCTATGCACTTTTGAGGACGCTTCCGACGGGTGACATTTCCCGTTTGTGTTACTTCATTATAATTAAGTGCCTTTCCCGGAGCGAAACAAACACCTGACACCCACCATTTCCCTTCTCCTCCCCCTGTCCTTCCCATCCCTTGCAACCTACTCAAGCACTCACATTCCCGCTCGCGCCGTCCGCGAACGACGGGTGCTCGATCCAGATCCCGCTGTCGATCACACCGATCACCACACCGCGCCCCGCGCTCTTCTCGCCGCCGTTCGCGCGCCACAGCGACGTCGGCAGCTTCAAGAAACTCGGCGAGTGCGTCGTCAGCGGGGTGACCTCGAACGCGGGCGTCACGCGCTCCACCGCGGGGTGCTTCCGCAGCTGCTCCGCCTCCGCGGGCGTCAGCATCGCCGCAAAGCCGTTGCTCGCGAAGGTGAACCTGGGAGGAAGGTGGTGGGAGCGGGGGGGGAAGAAGCGGGTGGGGGTAAGTGGGAGTTCTGTATTGATGGTAAAAAGGACGGGAGGACGGGCGTGGGGAAGAGGAGGGAGGAGGGGAGATACAGAGCGATGAGGCACCAGGAGGAGAAGAGACTTGCGCGACCCTCTCTGCGCTCTCTCTGCGCTCTCTCTGCCCTTTGGCCGCCTTCCCAGTCTCCTTCCGCCTCGACCACCTTGCATTTAGCCACGTCACGCGTCTCCCTTCCCCACAACCACCCCCTTCATCTCCCCATCCCCTGCCCTCCCCGCGCCTCGCCTCCCCACCCTCCCCTTCCCTGCGCTGCACAGGGCGCTTCACTCCTACTTCTACGTGCCCTGCCTTGCCCTTACTTGTACACGATATTCTCGGGATCCACGCCCTCGTCCGCCGCGATCTGCCCAGAGCCATGCCCAACGTCTCCCTGAACATCTCTCTCCCCACCCCACCCCCTCCCCTTCCCTGCGCGCCTAAGGGCGGCTTCCCTCTCCCCTCTTCTTACTTGTACACGATATTCTCGGGATCCACGCCCACGTCCGTCGCGATTTGCCCCTGCTGCCACTGCAGGTAGCTCGAGAACTGCCGCACGTGCGCCGACGCCATGTTCACCTTCGGCGGGCGCTGCATCCGCACCTGCGCCGCTTCCGCTTCCGCCTCCGCCTCCGCCGATCCGCTTCCGCTTTCGCCTTCGCCGGTCACGCTGGCGCTGCTCAGCGCCGCCGCCTCCGCCGTTTCCGCCATGGCGGAGGACGGCGCGGAGAGCGTCGTCGAGAGCATGTTGTATTCGTTGCCGTAAAACCCGGGAGCCGTCGCCGCGTAGCCGCTGATGCCGCCGCGGTACGCAAGCACGGGCGGCGCGGAACGCAGGCGGACGTTGTACAGCGACGCGGAAGAGTCGCGCGACTCGGACGACGACCCTGACGACTTCGAAGACTTGGATTCGGCGATTTTCCCAGCCCCCGCCGCAAGTAGAACGGCAATAAGCACAAGGGAATTTAGCACATGAGCATTCTGTCGCAACAAAGCTGGGCAAATTAGAGCGGGTCTCCGGCAGAAGCGCATTCCACGGCGAAGAGTAGCCATGGCTGGTGCTGCTGTCTTGCCACCTCACTCTTTCGCTCTCTCTCTCTCTCTCTCACACGGATGAGCGCAAGGGTGAAAGGGGATAGCGTGGCGTGGGGGGAAGAGGGAAAGAGGCGACCTGAATTACTCTTTATGGGTCCTTCGGCAATCTACTAGCAGCGATCCATCTGGCCAGACGCGCTGTGCGAAAGGTTGCGAAAACGGTAACAATTCTCAGCGGTTTGCCGCCCTCGGGCGTTCATCTTGGTTGGAGCAGTGAGGAGGGAAAGTTGACTCTTATAACGCCACGGCCACGACTGGAACCTAGATACTCAGTGACAATGAAGGGAAAGGGAATGACGGCTGCAACCGTTCCGTTCCCCCACCGCAACGAAATTGTGCCTCGTAATTGCGGCCAGAGATTCGGAGTAATGGGAGCGGTAGTGAGGTAAACTGTGGTAACGGCGCGATGTAGGGATACTCGGATTGGGTCAGGTAAGCTAGACCGTGCCGGGCCGTTTCGGGACGTTTCGGGACGGGACTGTCCGCTCAAGAACGCATAGCGGGGATGGGTGAATAAACTAAGGGGTGTGGGAAGCGCGCGAGCTACGCGGTACGCGAGGCAGAGAGAGGCGGGGACGGAAAGAGATAGTAAGGTAAGGTGCGGCGAGCGTGGTAGCAGATGAATTGTAAATTTTGTACGGCATTAACGGTGTGTGTGGAAGCTTTAATTGACCAGTCCGGCTCGAAAGCTTCCTACTGGCTTGACCGACACGATGGAATGGAGGTAGCGGACTCGAGACAAGAAGAAAACGGGTTTCAAGCATGCGGGCCGTAGGGTGCGAAGGATAGAGTTGCAAGGAGACTACAGTGACGATGTGCAAGTAGGGGCGCACAACGGTGATGTTGATGCTGTGAGGACTATTTTGTGAAGTTGCTTGTGTGGTTTGGTGTGTTTTGGTGCGGTGTGATGCGTTGAGGCTGTGTCGGCTGGTGGGTGGATCAGCCGCGCCGCCAGGTGGGGCCAGGATAAGTTTGAAATGGTGGATGGGGGGGTGGGTGTGGTGCGGGACGGAAAGAGGAAGGTGGTTTTGGTGAGGTAACAAGGCTGGAAGGATTGTGAAACAAGGGGAAGCGAGAAGGCAAACACACACAGAGCAGAGAAACGGGAACGAGATAAGCAAGACATGGCTGGGATGGAATTTGGAAAGCACACTCTGTGAGGGAGAACAGTAGTCGGCGCTGTCATCCTGTCTGCCTGCCTGCTGCCACTACTGGTCAATGTTCGAAATGGGCTCGCGGCTTGAAGAATGCGCTTCGATGCCAGATGGCTGGGGCTTGGACGGAAATCCAAAGCAAATTCGATTTCGGTCAGCCCAGAGACTCTCTGACCACCTAAACAGATCGCTCTGACAATCTTGGGCATTGTCGGTGGAGCGAGGCAGGTTTCTGTGATTGGACAAGGAACGCACCGTGTCGTGCCCGACGCGAAACCTGAACGAGCCCGCGGTGCGCCAGAGAGGATTCTTCTTGCGAACATTATCCCCGGTACGCACATTCTCAAGCCAACAAGAGAATGTGGCAATACTAAACACTGTTGATAGGAACTTTGCACGCAAGCCTCATTTCTCAATGCCCCCTCCCATCTTTCATTCTGTCCCCCACTCACAATTTTGACACATTAGAGTTGCAATTGATTTTTTAGCCTGCTAGTTATGCATATTATTATTAGAAAACATTATTGCTTCCCTTCTAGACCTGTAACATCTCGGGTAGGTTTCCGTTTATAAACATACAATTGTTTGCTACAGAATTGCCAGCTGTGCTATTGAGTGATTGGGTGAGGATGGGAAATTTTTGTCACAGAGTCAAAAGGATGTTGAGAATCCCAAATTGTTACGGGTGCAATGGAACGAGGAAGCGAGGATTGCACTATGTGGATCAAACGTACAAAGTATGAGCGAATACTTATGTGCGAAAACATGCAAATGTTACAAGGTGCATGCGAGCTAGCTAGTGCTACACTGGCATGGAGGTTCGGGCTAGTCCCGAAGCGTAGGCCGACTCGGCTGGGCCAGCAGTGCAAGATTTGGTGAAACAGTGCGCGCGAAGTTGGCGAAGCCCCGTTAGCAGTAACAGGCGAACGACGGCTGCTGCTGTACGCGATGTTGATGGTCGCGGTAAGGAAGGTCGAGAAAATTCCTTACACAAACCCCCCCCCCCCCCCCCCCCCCCCCCCCCCCCCCCCCCCCCTCAAGAAGCCCCCTCCGCTACGCAAGTGTGTATATATCGCGAAAACCCAGCTCCTCAGGTACACTTGCAGGGTAGGGTGGTTTTCAATGTTGGCCAGGGGCACCCAACTATCTTCAGTTGGCGTGTAGTCCTTCCAACGAACGAGGAACTCGATCCTCTTGATGCCTGTGGGGTGTAGAATCCGATGGCACAAAATATTTTCGGGCTCAATGATCGGCTCCGATGCAGGGCGAGTCATGGATGGCGGACGGTGACAAAGTAGTTGGCTCGTGGTTAGGATGTAAGGGCAAAGCAGGCGGGCGTGGAACGATGGGCTGATGAACCAGTCTGTCGTCAACAATAAATGGGCAGTTACTGGGGTGATCATGTGGATGATTTGGAACGGTCCACAGTATCGCGGTCGAAGTTTCGGTACGACGGGCGGTCTTAAGTCCTGTGTGTTGAGCAGTACGTAATCCCCTCACTGGTACGTGACTGGGGGGCGGCGGCGGTCAGCGTTTTGTTTTGCGATGACGTTGGATTTTTTAATTGCTTCTGCGGCTCTGGTGCGGGTAGCTTGCAGAATCTCGGCGAATTGCTGTGCGCGTGGCGTTGGGTTGTCCGGACTCGGCGTCATGGGCACTGTTGGGTTTTGCCCGTAGCTCAGGTAGAACAGGGACTGCTGCGTCGTCGCTGACGTGGCGTTGTTGTATGCGAACTCGATCAGCGGCAACTGCTGCTCCCATGTTGTCGGTGTCAAACATATATGCTTAGTTATATCTAGGCTTAGTTCATGTGTTTACATTTGTCTAGGCTATAGTGGGTTTAGCCTTAGGGGGTACAGAATTCTCTCGACATTCTACCTGTACCCTTCCTTGCTTCCTAGTCAATCATTCTCACCTAAGATTCTAACATGGTATTAAGAGCAACTAAGTCTTAGGACCTAGTCTCAATGGGCCCACCACCTACTGCACTACCCGTACCTAGCCCGTCGACTTCGTCGCCCGCGCCCGGCCCGTACCTAGCCCGTCGCCCGGCCCGTACCTAGCTTGTCGCCTCGGCCCCGCTGGCCCCGTCGACTTCGTCGCCCGCGCCCGGCCCGTACCTAGCTCGTCGCCAGGCCCGTACGTAGCCCGTCGCCTTGGCCCCGCTGGCCCCGTCGTCTTCGTCGCCCGCGCCCGGCCCGTACCTAGCTCGTCGCCCAGCCCGTACCTAGCCTGTCGCCCGACCCGTACGTAGCCCGTCACCTCGGCCCCACTGGCCCCGTCAACTTCGTCGCCCGCGCCAGGCCCATACCTAGCCCGTCGCCCGGCCAGTACCTAGCCCGTCGCCCGGCCCGTACCTAACCCGTCGCCCGGCCCGTACCTAGCCCGTCGCCTCGGCCCCGCTGGCCCCGTCAACTTCGACGCCCGCGCCCGGCACGTACCTAGCCCGTCGCCCGGCCCGTACCTAGCCCGCGCCCGGCCTCGTCTCCTACCTGCGCCTGGCCCGTACCTAGCCCGTCGCCCGACCTGTACCTAGCCCGTCGCTCGGCCCGTACCTAGCCTCGTGCCCGGCCCTGTACCTGCCCAGCGCCCGGCCCTGTACCTGTTTGGCCCCTCGGCCCCCTAGGCCCCTCGGCCCCCCCCTCCTTGGCCCCTCGGCCCCTTGTTTGGCCCCGTGGCCCCTAGGCCCCTCGGCCCCCCCAAGGCCCCCCCGGCCCCTACTTTGGCCCCTTGGCCCCCTAGGCCCCTCGGGCCCCCCCAAGGCCCCTTGTTTGGCCCCTCGGCCCCCTAGGCCCCTCGGCCCCCCCAAGGCCCCCCCGGCCCCTTGTTTGGCCCCGCGGCCCCTAGGCCCCTCGGCCCCACCTCAGAGCCTGGCGCCCGGCCCCCCGGCCCCTACTTTGGCCCCTCGGCCCCCTAGGCCCCTTGTTTGGCCCCTCGGCCCCCTAGGCCCCTCGGCCCCCCCCCAAGGCCCCCCAGGCCCCTTGTTTGGCCCCGCGGCCCCTAGCCCCCTCGGCCCCACCTCAGAGATTGGTGCCCGGCCCCCCGGCCCCTACTTTGGCCCCTCGGCCCCCTAGGCCCCTCGGCCCCACCTCAGAGACTGGCGCCCGCCCCCCCCGGCCTCTTGTTTGGCCCCTCGGCCCCCTAGGCCCCTTGGCCCCCTCTAGGCCCCCCGGCCCCCTGTTTGGCCCCGCGGCCCCTAGGCCACTCGGCCCCACCTCAGAGACCGGCACCCGGCCCCCCGGCCCCTTGTTTGGCCCCTCGGCCCCCTAGGCCCCTCGGCCCCTTGTTTGGCCCCGCGGCCCCCAGGCTCCTCTGCCCCTATGGCGTTGCTTCGGGTTCTCCCGTTTG